ACACACACACACACACACACACACACACACACAAGCGCACACTCACACGAGCTCAAAGTGTTGCAACTCTCTTTTCCACTGCTCTGTGCCAGCAAAGCTGTGCTCTTAGGTCTGTGTGGATTTCATCATTTGGTGTGTAATCAAAGCTGTGTCTGAACCTGCCAGTGCTGCACTGGAGACTCTGGCTGGAATAAAGGGCCCTTTATGTGGTTGTGGCTGGGCTGCCCACCGACTGCCTGATGTATATCTTAATGTACAGAACATGTTCTGTAGGTCCTGCAACTTGTTAGCACTAGTTTAACACAGCAGGGAAAAAATCAAATGACCTCATCCTTCACAAAGCAGGCAGTTAGAGCGGTGGAAATGAGACGTAGCTGAGGGAAGAGAAAGACAGAGAGGAGACAGGTTTTGGGAGTGAAGGAGTTTAGAGAATGACTGAAGAGATAGAGTCCTTCCACTCCAGTCCGGTTTTGCACGCTACTACTGTTATAATAAAAAATCCCTTAGACTTGAAATATACCCCTAATTAATGTCAAATGTTTAAACAATTACACTCGAGGTGATACGAGCTGATAAACACTGTGGCAACATGAGTGTCAGCCAGCCTTTGTTTTCAAAATAAATAACTTTGAAAATGGAAAAAAAAAGTTTCCTAGAAATAAGAGTGTCATGACTTGGATATCAAAAGAATCACAAACCATAATGAAAAGCATTGGCCGTTCTTTGTGTTTGGAAAGGTTTGCTGATAGCCACGTTTGCTGGACAGAAACATCTTGTGGAGAGGGAGAGGGAGAGAGAGAGAGAGAGAGAGAGAGGAGGTAGCAGAGGTCATTAGAAGAGTTATTGCTCTGATAGAGGAGAGCGGGAGTATTCCCAGGGCATTTAATTCTCCCTCTTCCTCCTGCTCTCTCAAGATTGATCGTCTTTGTAGTCTTTTGAATCTCTTCAGCTGTTCCTATGGTAACACGCTGGGGTAACACAATATTAGTGTATTAGGCTTATCTCTCCTCTGGCCGTCATCCAGACACATCTTGCTCTTTTTTCTCCTCCTATCTATGTAATTGAATTGTAAATGCTCTGTTAGGCCTCCCATAAACATATGCAGTCACTAAATGGCTACAGGCCCCTGGACCGTGCAACTTTCTGGCTAGTTGGCCATTCAGACACGAGGCCCGGCAACCAAATGTGGATCAATTCAGATTCCGCTCCCTGATGTCTGAATGCAACTGATGGAATTCCTTGATTGTGGACAGAAAGTGAGAGACTAATTGTGTTATCGGGGTGCGATCTCCAGCGCGGCTTTCATAAGCATAGACGGGGTTTCTAATGTCTGTAATATCCGCGCCCGGGCCGGGTCGATAAATACGGCCTCGCTATCGGATAACTGGGCCATGATCAGGCCCATGTGTCCCCTGCGACGTTCTCAATCCGGCTCTAATCGCATTACCCCAACCATGTTGACTTTCCGCCAATGGGAAATCTCCGCACTGTAACCCCACACCCCCGAGGCATGGACCTGGATAGACTCTTGCTGCTCAGCGTTTACATTGTGCGAGCAGAGAGGGGGATTGAGTGGGACTTTGATAGACATGAAGGAAACTGATAGACAGGCCAAGTGAGCAGGGGAGTTGAAAGGAGAGAGACAGTATCGATATTGTGAGACACCAAACAGTGAATCAGAGTGAGAAACTAACTGGAAGGATTGTTTGTGAGTGACATGAAAGGACTTATGCTTGGCCTGGTTTCCTGTGCCCCTCTCCATGTGTGCATGCATGTATGCCCATATGTTTGCGCTTGTGATTGTTTGATTTTTGTGGTAAATGGAGGCCTCGGTTGCAGGATTAACCCTCCCCTCCCAGGGAAAGCCACAGCCTTGGCTAATGAAGGCTAATTGATTTTGTGGTGGGCCAGAGCAGCACAGAGGCCTGTCTCTGGTGTAAATAGTTAATGAGCCGAAGGACTGATGTGGCCCCTTGGGGACCCATATCTAGCTGGAAGCTCTCTGTTTGTGCTCTCTGAGCCAAAGACTGTATCTGCATCCACGTCCATCTTTGTTCTCCTCTATCGCTGATTTTCTCCTTTAAGTGCCATCATTAAAGAGTTACAGAGAAGCCCAATGGTGCAGTAACTGACTCGTATGCTCTTCCATATGCTGCTTCTAGCTTGTTGTTTGGGAGCGTTGCTGAGATTTTAGTGTTTCATTAGGTTTTAGTTCAAGTGCTTTTTTTCCCCTTCTCCTGAAGGACTGGGTGCTCACGGTGCCGGGTGTGGTCGCGTTCTGCTCTGTTGTGGTCTGGGGAATAGAATGGTGCGTGTTGTGTGCTGGAGGTTGTGGGATAGTTGACCCTCGCAGCGTGGAGGAAACGTTGCAGAGGGGAGGCCAAGTTCCACAGCGAGCCGGCCAAAGTCTCACGTCACCGCTCAGAGCCAGTTCTCCACAGTGCCTCGCAAACAGACATGCAGACACACACCACACACACACACACAGCCTGCTCCAGCTCTGTGTCGTCCTCCTTGCACCGTTTCAGATAGAAAGCCACAAACACACGTACGTACCCTTACAGACAACATGGCATTTTAAAACATGTTACAACGCATGCATACGTGGAGATTCACATGCTGTTAAAATTCACATATGAACCATGTATTGTCCTGTGAAAACCTTCCTCTCCTCCTCAGATGAATTGATATGTTTGTTTGTGTGATGAAAGACTTTCACTATTGTTTGTCATCTGTAACAAGGAAAGGCCCAAACAGACCCTTATCAAGCTGGTTGTAAATAACATCTGTGAGTACAAACTATGGGATATGAGTCAGCTCATGTCAGTGGAGCTCTTTTCAAAAAAGTGGTGCACTTTGATTTGGTCTTCGTCTCTCTCTTTAAATGAGCTCCATGCTTTCCACACATCCATGCTGCACTGCTAATTTCAGACAGAGGCGCCTTGAAACAGTTTGGTATTGGTGCATGAAAATGTGTTATTTATTATCTCCCGATATCTGTTGTTTACATTGTTACTAAGGACAATAAATGTGTCACTAAGCATCAGGCTAGGTGCTGAGTTTTTTATGAGGTAAACAATACTATATGTTCCTTCATTGCAGCTCTCTTGGCTGTGGAGCTGGCACTAGATGGGTGGATGACATAATTCCTGGCATGCTCTAAATGTGCTCCTTTTTACTTGAGGAGGGGAAAAAAACAGAGCGTCTCTTAAAGAAACATTTCATAGGACACAGGAGGACCAATAATCAAAGTGTTTCGAGCACGCTAATTCAGCTTTTTACATTTCATTCACGCGACCATTACTGTTTTTATGTTTTGGTCTGGTTAAAGAATCGCAACAGGCGTTTGGGTCAATGGACTTAAAGATCAAGTTTGGCTCTTAACAGTGAAAAAATGAGAGTTATGAACATATTCTGTTCAGAAACGCCGTGAAGCAGCCACAGATGTGCCAGTTTTAAACCCAGCTACACAGTGATTGATTGAGCGATTAGCTCACTATGAAGTCATTTGTAAGCAGTTAAGCCATTAGCGTACGTGGTTACCCTGTTACGTGTTCCATTCAGTTTCTTCAGCTGTAGTAGGGAAGCACCTCTGGCTAAACCTTCCTTTGTGAGGAGGAGCAGAGCACACACAATAGGAATTCTAACTCCAGGTTTTGTAAGCAACATCTGTATGAATGGTGGCATTGTCAGGGTATGATGTCATCGGAGAGAGACGGTGAGCTAAGAGCACAGCTGAATGTGCACGCTGCACAGAACTCTAGAATATGTGTGTAGTAGTCTACTGTATGTTTGTGTGTTTTTTCATGGTGTGTATGCAAATGGTTCATTTTCAGTGCATTGGCAAACTCTGGTAGTCATTGTTCTGAGAGTCCAAACACATCTGTGGACTAAGTGGGCTAAAACAAACCATGAATTTAGAGTTTGCACGTTGAGTTTTTGATTCAGATCTGTTATGTACATATGCATGGTTAGTTGGGTAAACATGTGGATGTGGGATAAACAGCGGTCAGAAAGGGACGCTGGACACATGGCAAGATACGCTGACTATAAAGTTATGTAAAGACAAGGTTAAATGTCTGTGTGACAGATGCAAAGAAAGTTTATGTAGATGATAAACACATGTTGTTTCTTCCATTGCCATGGAGGCGAGTGCAGGACTGAGGAGCTGCAGGATCAATGTGTGTCCTCCAGTTTATCAGTGTTGGACACGGACCAGAGAGGGGCCCCTTTCTCTCACTGCCTCCACAGTGCTGCCATTGCTTAAGTGTTTGGTTTGTCAGAACCAGATTCATTTTGTATACAGTATAGCCAGTCAAAACTAAATGGACATGCTATATGGTTTCTTGATTTGCTCTCGTTTGACATATTTCATCAATATTCAGTGTGGATTGTTTGTTGCAGTAATTAACAGTGTTCAACCACAATTAACCACAAGTAAAACATTTACAAACAACTGTTTTATAGGTATTTTTACCATTCACACAAAAGTGGAGTCTGCAGCTTTAGCTCCACACATAGCACTGCATCACAAGAGGTGTAAAATTAACCCTTTCTAAAACAGCGACAACCACAAAACTGAACATTATAACCTTCATGAAGGAGGGTTTGTTTTGATGCTGTTTTATTAAACTGCATTAGTTTGATAGGTAGGTATTCATAACTGAGAGTACTGCAAAACACAATCGACGAGATAGTCGCAAATTCACATTAATGTGTCAACCTGGCAGAAGATAAAGAAAATGCATCATAATTTATGAGATTTATTTTCTAATTTGTTAAGTAGCTACTTACTACATGTTGACCCATTCAGAGAATCATCTATAACATCAATCA